TATAACATTTTTTCCTTAGAATCGCATCACCTTTCATCTGCCAAAGTTTGTCATAGAGCTAATGAATCACCCTGTATATATAGGTGACGTCCTTTGAGGTCGGGGCTAATTGATCGTCTCTTTTCTTATTATGACTCTATCTCACTTATTTACATTTATTCTCTTTTTGAGAATAAACAGTGCGTGATGCAACCCAACATATACAGTTGCCGGTTTTATACATATGGTTAGCAATCTGGAGTGGTATAATCAATGGTAAAACACAGTCTCCCACATCTATATCAGGTAACCACTTCTTGGAAGTTGACGCCATATCTTCTGCCTGACGTTTCTGGCCTTCATAACATTTTTCCCGTTGTAACTGTATTAGTTGTTCTGTAGTGCATAAATTGCACAATTTGTCATCAGTAGCACATGATATATGTATGAGAACTTTACATTTTTCACATATCTGACATGGGTCAATAACTGCACTCTGACACATCGGACAAATTACTACATCGTCTTTTGTCGCCATCTGTAGCTCAACAATTCCACAGTCCATATTATCACTTAATATGGAGTCTACGTTTTGGATCTTTACGTTAGTATCCAGTTCATTCTGCTCTAGTTCGATACCTAGCTCTTTCGTTGCTTCTGTGACCGGTTCTTCACACCGCTGTTCGTGTTCTTCTTCTCTAAAAACTCCCATTTCTTTCTCCTGATTTTCTAGCTCTTCTTCTGTAGTTATATTTGAAAGAATGGTGGGCGGAAGATTTATTGACTTCAGGCCAAATTTTATCACTCTGTGCAACAAATTATTTTTCTGCCATTGCGTAAAATAACACCCAACTGACCACCTGGTAGATTTATTATCACTCATCCACGACCGTAAGATGTTCTCGACATCTTGATTTGAACGCTCAACGCTGCCCTGGCTTTGAGGATGGCGAGGTCTTCCATGAACAATTAATAACTGTGGCCACAAGATTTTCAACTCTTCTACTATCTTGTTCGCAAATTCACGTCCATTGTCCCTTTGCAAAATCGATGGCGCACCAAATTGGAGAAAAATCTTCAAAAGTTCTTCCGCAACGTTTACAGCGTGTTTTGAACGTAAAGGCCTCAGACATACGTACTTGGTGGAATGGTCTTGATAGTTCAATAGCCATTTATACTCACCGTCGGGTATAGATTGAAAATCGATTAAATCTACTTGACCTCTGGTCATAAAATCTTTAGAAGTAATCGGTTTTACAACAATTTTTGATACAATTTTATTCTTTTTTGTTTGACAATATTTACATGCCTTCAAGAACATTTCTACGCAAGGCCTCGGAATAAAATATTTTTGGTGAATTATATTGATCATTTTATCTCTGGACCCATGGCCACAACTAATATGAATATCTAATAACCTTTCAAATAGTTCTTCTTCTGGGATTACATAAATTAAAGTATCGTTTTTTTCCTTAACTTTTTTTATGACATATTGTTGATCGCCTACTTTCATAACATCATACATTTGCAGTAAATAATACTCTCTTCTGCTTTTCTTGCTATTCTTTTGTTTTGCTTGAGTAATTTCCAGCCCCATCTATTAATTCTCTATTTTATAACCTCAAAACAACAAAAAACATCAATACTTACTTCTTTTAGTTGATCGACCATGTACGGGCGCTTATTAGGTTTTTCTTTGTAGTAACGACTGTAGTGTTCTTTAAACAGCTCCTCATCACTTCTTCCAGAATGATTTTCCATTCTTGCTAATTTAGTTAGTGCTGGTCGTTTCGTGAACCTTCGATATGATCGGGCGTTTCATGAACAGCCTCGTCAGAAAACGAAATCCTTAACATTTACACAAAATGCCGACGCTTCATGAACTGCCTAGGATTTTCGGGAACTGACGGATTTCGCCATGTGACCACGACATATACACATTTCTACCCGCTTTGTTACTGTTTAGTCAACAATTTCTTTCATCGTGCTCCACACGAAGAAATCCATCCACAAGCCTTGGAAATGCTTTCAAATCAGGTGTGACTCAAATGTGACAAATTTGGTTTGCGCAATAATAAACAAATACAACATCTTATTAAGTAATTTACCCGCGGAAACAATTACAACAGTAATAGATTACATACAAAACCCTCCAGACGAAGCCCTTACTCTTCGCTGAAGAAACTGATAATAGGACGGTTATCTTGCAGCGAAGAGAAGCGTCTAGATGATTTATTATTCGATACCCAAATTGGAGATCAACGACCCGACCGTCCGATTTCTACCGATCGTTATTAAACACGGTCGGAGGATCACAAGTCATGACTCCCAATTTGTTACTTAAACTGTGGAATAGAAAGTTACCTCAAGATATATCGATGGCCCTCCTGTCCTCGTGAAAAGAAGATGTTACCAATCTCCTTTCAATCGCCGACAATGTTTGGGACGCCATAATTCATTCACACTCCTTCCATTTCTTCTCAAATTCCTGTCCAACCAAGTCCAATAAGAACCCAACAGCCGCAAAACCGAACTAATTTTGACATACTACTAACAACAATGAATGATTTGACACTAATATGTCAAACATTGCTAAAAACCCTATGTAAAAACCATAGAAAACCAACAACAAACAAGCGTCGATAAATATAAACCATATTGATGTTTTATTAAGTAAAACTCAAGTAAAACTGAGAAAACATTTTCGTGTAACAATTTTATTTTCGGTTAACATATCTGTTAGTCGATTTTTGCTATTTATATGTTCTATATTAATTAATCCCTCATTTAGATAATTTAATATAAAATTATATTTTAAATCAATGTGGTTGACTCTTCTATTATTTTCCGGATTTTTTATTAAATGTATACAACCCTGATTATCTTCGAATAGTTTAATATACTCATATTTGACGTTTAGGTCTATTAAAATTTTTTTATACCATAAACATTCCTGTACTGCCTAAGATAATGCAACTAATTTCGCTTTGGTGCTATATAAAGCAACACAATTTTGTTTTTTAGTAACCCACAGCACTGTATTCCCATAAATTTTAATTAAATAACCACTAATTGATTTTCTGTCATGATAATTTCCACCCCAGTCCGAATCAACATAGCAAACAAATGGTAAAGCATTATTATCTCTTTTGTAAACCAATTCTAAATCTATTGTACACTTCAAATATCTCATCAATTTTTTTAAATGTTTCCACACTTCCTCGTAATTTCTATCTTGAAACCTGCTGAAATAATTTATTGGAACACTTATATCTGGTCTTGTTCCAAGCATTAGGTACATTAAACAGCCTATAAATTCTTTTATTGGTTTTTTATTATCGTCATCTTTCATTATTCCCACATCTTTAATTTCTAATTTTAATTTTGGATCGATAGGTATTGATGAAGAATTATAATTTTCCATATTAAAACGTTTTCATATTTTTGTTAAATATGATTTCTGATTAATTTTCAAGGTTCCCATTTCTCTGTTATAATTTATTTCTAGTACTAAAAAATTCTTCAAATCACCCTTGTCTTTTAAAGCAAATTTATTCATTTAGTCCTTCTTGCATTTTTCAATGTTATTCGCATTAGAGCCTACCAATATTATATCGTCAACATATGTAATACAGTAAACTATATTATCATAAAAATTTTTATAGTACAAACAATAATCATTCTCAGACCTTCTATATCCTGTTTTCACTAAAAAATTATTAATTTCTGCATTCCAACATTTAGCCGCTTGTTTAAGTCTGTAAAGATATATCTACGCATTTTTAAAATATTTCCATCTTTGCATTTTAACCCCTCTGGAGGATATATATACACATCTTCTTTCAGGTATCCATTTAAAAAAGCTCTTTTGATATCCAGTTGTTTAAATACAAATTTGTGTTGATTTCCTATCGATAATAGAGTTCGAATTGTTGTCATTTTCGCAACTGGTGAGTCAATTTCGTCATAATCAAAAGAACTTCGTTGACAACATCCTCGTACCACTAATCTAGCTTTACATTGCTCCTCTATCTTTTCTTCTAAAGGTTTTCTAGCAAATACCCATTTTGTATTTAAAATTTCTCCATTTTTTGGCATTTGAACTTCATTCCAGGTATTATTTTTATTAATTGCATCTAATTCCCTCTGCATTGCTTTTTCCCAAAAAGATTTGTCATCTCTTGCTTCTAAATCTGTAGCATTTTCAGGTACCCTGTCTAAAAAATTGATTGTATTAAATGACATATACATTTCATAATCATCGTATTTCCGTGGTAGTTTCTTCTTCTCTTCATCAATTTCCCTGTTTTCCTTTTGTTCAACATTTCTTTTTCCTTCTGGATCGCTATCTAGTACTTCGTCATCTTGAAATTCTTTATTTTTTTCCTGTATTTGACTTACTTTCATAATAAAATTCTTCTTCATTAAAAATAACAGATCTTGAAACTATTACTTTTTCTTTTTCTAAACTCCATAATCTATATCCAGTAGTTGTGTATCCTATCATTATACATTTTTCAGATGTTGGATCAAATTTCTGTCTCAGTTTCTTAGGAATATGGGCATGTCATATTAGCTAGCTACTGCTCTTTTTCTATATCAAATAAATGGAAAATTATGAAACTTTAAGGTAATTTTCTCGATAATTTTCTTATGTAGCTAATATTAATTTTAACTGTACTTAATTCAGAAAAAATCCTCTTGCATATTCCGTAATAAAAATGGGGAATTGCAATTTGAAAAAAATATCGATGTCGTCATAACTCGTTTAAAAATGGCGGAAAAAATTTTAAATTCATCTCATCCAGATTTTCTAACCCATAGCAACGCACAACTTGCTGACACAGAATTGACAAACTTATTGAATAAACAATTTTCCAACAACCCTTCAAAATTTTATTGTTTGGCACATCAAACAACATCACAATCCAACATTAAGCTATGGTGTGAAACCTTTTCATCATCTCTAAGAATGCACAGCTTATCTCATCCCGGTATACGTTCCACCGTTCATGCAATCGAAACAAGGTTCTTTTGGCCACACATGTCAAAGCAAATTCATGTTTGGACCAAAGCCTGCTTAAAATGTCAACAAGCAAAGATCAAAAGCCATACAAAATCACCAATCATTAACATCAAAATTCCTAAAATTAGATTTGATCATAATACATATTGACTTGATTGGACCACTCACTCCGTCCCTAGGTTGTACTTATGTACTTACAATCATCGAACACTTCACTTGATGGCCAAAAGATTTTCCGCTAAAAGATATCACATCTTCTACTATAGCGAACACACTTTTCCGGCATTATTTTAGTCGATTTGGTATACCTACCACAATTACACATGAACAGGGACGGTAGTCCGATCTTTATTCATTTTCAAGCAAATGGAATGTTAGACCGATTTCATCGAACATTGAAAATAGCTATCATCGGTAATATCGGGAGATACGACAAGATCCTGCAACGAGCACATTTTGGAAAATCAATTGAATATCTTATATATTATATTAAAATATAAAGGCTGTTTGCTCCGCTTAAACCTATTTGCGCAAATGTGACATGCCACCCCCGCTAGGGTGAGAGAAAATTATTAACTCGCTCACTTCTTACTCTAACACTCTAACGCATCGCAACGCATGTGTACCGTTTTGCTATCTGCCGCACTACCACGCCGTTATTTTATTGCTTCGCTTTTCCGTATTATATAAGGTATTTAGCTTGATTTTATTTTTTATTTACGATTATTTCAAACTTTGATTATTAATTAAAGAAGTACAATTTGCTTTATAATCATTTTTTTCATTAATTTCTTTGGGTATCCAGCACCTTTACACAATTTTAATCCTTCGAGCCGGATCCCCTGTGTCATTTCGATTAATCTTTGCATACCTTTATTTAATTTATTTCTAAGTAATTGCAATCATATAGTTTCGCCCACCCGCAACACCACGTGCTCTTACTTCTTTTTCGATTCGCATCGCTCCACATCTGGTGTTTGTTGAAATCGCAATTCAAGTCAATCGAAACAAAGAAAAGTATACAAGTAAAATTATATTAATTATTTTGTTTATTATTATTTTCCTACATCTTTGAAGAGAAGATATAACATTGCATTATATTATTTTTCTTTTATCTCGATCATTTCTTAAATTGATCAAGATTGTCAATATGACAACTAACAAACTCTCAAAATTAGTCTTACGTCGTAACGGTTTCCTTAACCGTTTAATTGAAACGGCTGATGCTGCTCATACTGTATCTGACAGTCCTGATGGTCCTGATTTAAAATTCATTTTCATTGCTCGTGCTAATGACTCCGACGATGCATACAGCCTGATTCAGAGTAAGCGCCTTATTTTTTCCTAGCCACACTATGGGTACTACTTTCAAAATATTTGGCAGTAATATGTTTTAGGGCATTCTCTACACGATGGCGATGGTGATACCACATTTTCAATTGGACGAATTATTTCAAAATGGCGACAGTCAACTTTTTTTTTTAAATGGAATGCCAACATTTTTTTTTATTATTGAGATCCTAAAAACATTCTTTATACGATAGTATTTTGTTTTTTTTTTTAAATTCATTTCTTTCTCCATCAAAAAGCACACATTTTAATCTAGTAGCGCATGTATGTTTTACACTCGATGTTATTTTTATCCAAACATCAAGTAGCGCTAGACACAAAAGAAACAATTAAGCTTTATTTTGTAATAAACATCTACTTATTTATTTATTTGGACAAAAATAAC